GGGAACAAGTAGGCTGGGGTGGTGCATGCAGTGAAAATGCTGCATAATCATTGGGCTCAGCAAGTGCCTGGAATGGAGCAAGAGCCAAATGGCAAATGGGATACCTGAATTTCTGATAGAACCAGCTTGGGAGAAGGCTTAGACAGTTCACAAGGCAAAGAGAAGAATGCTTTGCAAGGTGTTTAAGCACTGTCTTGAGAAGTGGCTAAAGTTTAATAAATTCTGCAGATTTATTTCTCCTTAAGACAAACTTAACAATTTCTCTTCTATAGATGTGTAACTTCCCAGAGAGCCTTTACCTGGCCTCCACATTAAGTGTTAAAAAAAAAAAAAAGGTCTTGAAACTTCACTGAAGGCTCCCATGCCCACTCTAGAGAGCATCGACGGAGGGCTCTTCCACCCTCTACAGCACGAGGAACACTATCTCTGTAGGGGGAAGTGGCATGGAAGGCAGGAAACCCAGCAAAGGAAAGCCTAAGGGATAGGCAGAGCCACTTCTCCCCCGACTGCTCAGGTTCCTGCTGGGGCCCTGTTCCACACTGGTGCACCTTCTTTATCTGAAGTAGTCATTCCAACAGAAACTTTACACAGATTCCAGAAACAAGCCTGTCATTCACGTGGATGGTTTCAGATTCTTTAGTACATTGAGCAACTCTTCCTGAGATGTGCAGAGAAAAAATCCACACAGACCTACTCTTTTGTGATGCCTGGGCGAGTAACACAGCCTGTGAGCTGATGTTCAGCCTTGTAAAATTCAATAACAAGTCCTCAACTCTCACACTATGGAACAGACAAGCTCACCTGGTGAGGAGCCAGGATAGCCCACCTTTAACACCTCTTTTCATGGAAAATGCCTAAGTAAAAGTAGCTCATAGCTCATTACAGGACAATAGTTACTAAACACCAGAGCAAGAAGCTGGGAATAAACCAGCCTATTCATTAATGTGACCCAGATATCTTGGGATCTATTTCAGGATTAGCTCTTGTCTATGGAATCCAGAAATCATTTCAACCTCTTAATGATCCAGTTTTCATCTGGAAGAAAGGAAGGCAACAAGTATCCACTTCATAATGGAGTTAGGAGGTTTAGCTATGGTTAGTATCTCCGCAACCTTGGAAAATTGCAATGTAATCTCCATGAGTCAGTCATTTCTCTTCTACAGTGAGTTGATGGCGCTAGGAGAGCTAAATTGATTCCCTATTCTTTTAATGCTACCAGAAAATGAATACTGAAAACTAGAATTAAAATACAATGCAACCTTTCCAAAATAAGTTTGTAGAAAGAAAGAGATGTGCTAAGTCTTCTTACCAGGGCTTTAAAAATAAATCACTTCTGGAAACACTTGCACTGAATGGTCCCAAAGCTGACAAAAGGGGATGACGGAGAAGGCAATCCTGGACTTGGATCCTTTGCACAGACCAGATACATCCCGGTTGTTAGGGTTCTGATGCTTTTGGCAGGCGGTAGCGGGGGTGACGCGGGACGGATGGGTCAGGTGGGTCTGTTTCTGACTGGGTGTCATTGCTACCTGATTTAAATGATGAAAATATAATATATATTAACTCGAAGTTCACAAAATTTCATAACAAAATGAGATATATTTTGATTCTTATAAAAAAATTTAGGTAAGTTAGCCATCTATGACTACTACTATTTAAAGCACAGATTTATAGTCCTACAATTACTTTAAAATTTAATTCATAATTGGAATTTGTCACAGTTAACGGTGGTTTTAGTTCTTCTGTCTTCTAAAGCCTGAGTGTTCACATGTCCATTTTGATCTCTAAAAAGGACCAAAAGGGTAGTTCTGTAAGTGTATGCACGTACTATAGTGCTCACAGGTGAGCGTCCCATGCCCCCAACTTCCCACCTCCTGTGCTCATAGAGAACTTGCGGGGAAAGAGAAGAGGCTCACTAAGTACTCATTAGTAATAACAACAATTAACAGTTAATATTAGCACTTATAGCTGAATTGCTTAAAAGCTGGTTTTAGGTTTCCTACAAAGTAACAAAGAAAGTGTCAATATATTAAGTACCTCTGATCTTTTAGGTGCTCTGAAGATGCATTCCTAATCAGGTCCTCTTTAAAAAAGACAAGAAAAACCAAAACCAAAATCAAACTAACTCATCAAGAGGACAGCAGAATCTCTGACCTCTCAAAATGGGCAGCACCATGATGATCTCAGGGTCATGACCACTGCCAGAAGTTACTCGGGGACTCGAAAGGCAATCGGAGGATCAGCAGGTCATGTCAATGGAGTGAGGTGATTTCTTCTCAAAGGATTCAAGACCCACATCTAAATACTGCACACAAGTAACTGACATTTTTTTATCTGCAAAATTTTATTAAGCAATAGCTCGACAACTCTTACAACTTCAAATCATCAAGAAAAAAATAAGGAGATTAATCCACTCCAATAATAAAGACAAAATAATTTGGACAAACCACTTCCTTGTGAATGCAAACCATGAATGCCTTCTGCACAATCTAATACACAAAATACGTAAGGAGAGGCAAATGAGGTTGAGCTCATTAAAATGCAGTTGGGAATCTCAACAGATCTTGCTTGGAAAGTAAAACAATGCAGGATGCTGAATTAAAAAACAAACACACGCACCAACGTTAGAGGAACTGAAGTGCACAAAGCAGCGCACATCATTCCCAAGGTTTGGACAAGAACATGCTGGTGGTCTTGTTTGGTCTGGGACCTGTGTACCTGCATTGCACACGTACGCTTAAAAAAAAAGGAAAAGGAAAATGCCAGTAGTAATCAATTCAGAAATTATGTCCAAATTTACAGTACCAAAATAATGCATTTATAAACAAATGCAAAAGCAATACCCCTTTGGTAAATAATACAGTGCCTTTTTCAGTCAAACGCATAACCCATGCTTTTCTACAACACGAAAAAAATTTTTTTATCTACAGTAAACGAGATTTTAGAACCCTCCCCCTCCCCTTAAAAAGAACTTGTAAACAGAAAATATAGGTACAAGTAAGTTACAAGAAAATTGCACAAAGCCAAAGAAAATGAAAACAAAATAAGCCACAACTCTTCAGAGTTTTATCAGCCAGAGATAAGGAAATACACAAATGGTAAGGAGTTCAGAGTTGTGTGCTGTTACAAAATCCCAGGAACTCAAACAATATTTTTGACAGATTTTTGTCTCAACTAACTTTGTTCACAACCACTGATGTGGCCAAATGATGCCTGGCCCACACAGGGACAAAAAGGGTTCCTTTTTCATAGGTGCTGGGTGAAAACTTTCCTTTCCAAGAAATCTTTTTGTCGTTTATTTTTTTTTGGTGGCTGGCCAGTATGAGGACCAAGAAAGTTTTTGAATATGAAAATAGTGTGACACTTCAGAGCACACTAAAGAATTCAAATCAACCTAGAACTATACTTGTTTGCTCTTTTTTGAACCCATTCTATGGATTCGGAAGCAAGTGGTGACTTATTTTAGGGCTGTTCTCAAGCCGTCCACTGAGCGGGGCTCACTCAGATGAAGACTCCTCTGTCTTTCCTGGAATCAGTGCTTTTGTGTAATTTTATCAGAACACACACAATGCACTTAGAGGTGAACTTTCTAAAAATGTTATTTTAGATGGGCTGGTTTCTATTTAGTAGATAGCTCATTAATACAGGAAAATAAATATTTCTCTTCAAAAAGGCAATGTTTTTAAACATACTATCCACGTTTGTAAAGTGGAATGATGAAACTGTTCCATGTTGAGTGCTCAGGCTGTTAAGAGCTGGGAGGAAGTTTAGAAGATTGTCCAGGCTGTCCTTGCTATTTGATAGATGGAAAAATGGAGGCCTGGGCTGCCCCAGGGACTTGCCCAAGGTCACCCTCCAACTCAGTGGCAGAGCAGGCTCGGCCCTGGGGTCTCCAACTTTCTGCTATGATTACAAGATGAACATAACACATTTTTGCATGTCCTCATGGGACACTCGACAAGGTAACAATGACTGTGGATGAAAAAAACCAACTGCAAAATCCTTTGACTTATATTGCTGTTAGAGCTTTGAGATTTTCCTGCTTCTTTGGTCCCAATTTTTCTCAGGCTATACATTCAATGTGTATATTTTACACAAATCTGTGCCTTTGGTTTCATGAGATTAGAGCTAAAACAAATTTAAAACTGTTTTTTATGTTTGTTAATATACCACTTCCCTCAAAATGTCATGGATTCTTTATGTAGTTGACTGAACTAATGGTCTTAAATTTAGGGATTCAATGAGATATCTTGATATTCATAAATTGCTATTAATAAACATGAAGTACCTAAGGTTCTGCTACTTTAAGAGCTAACTTTACTAGTATTTAATCAACTGAGACTGACTGAACGAAAGCAATTTTAAAAATAAGTAAAACCACCACCATTAACTTAAGACACCATATCACAAGTGCTGCAGCCATCAGCTTAAGTCTGACTTGGCAGGAGATGAGCTCCTTCTTTGGGAGGGGAAGCAGAACCGAGGGGCAGGTGCTGCAGGCTCATTCCCACTCTGCAAACATCCAAGACAGGAAGCCTATGTCTCCACCTGGGGAAATGTCTTTTGGGGAGTAAACTAAGAATTTGGAAAGTTTAGTTAATTATTTGATACAAATATCCACTTTTCCTTCTCACATGTAACTTTCATTCCAAGAATTTCACCCTATATTTGCTCTTATCAAATAAGAAAAGTTCTAAAATGTACCCTTTCATGGTCTTTATATCTCAAAAACCAATCAGAACTTTTAAAACTGAAGCTTCTTATTTGATAGTTCCTTCCTTTGCTACTCTCCTTCTAATAGGTCTCCGTTCCTCACTTCATATCCTTTATTTTTAATTAAAAATAACATTTTCAAAAGAAGAAGAAATATTTTAGGGTATGTTATCCAAAGAAATATTTTCCTTTGTATATAATCAATACCACAAAATACAAAAAAAATTTTTTTCAAGAATACAAATATCTTTTCCCGATTAGAAAAAGTTACAAATTGTCCAGCAAAAAAACCTCTATCATATCCTCTTTATTTCTTGCAGCAAAATATACTGCTACCAAGTAAGTTGTTACAAAGATACTATTTTTCTAAATAAATAATAAAATGGACATAACTCACCAATACATAATAACAAAACAATTCCTAAGAACACTATGAAAAGCAAGATAAATAATTATCTCTTGAACAATAAAACAGGGGGATTGCATTTAAATTATTTTAGAAATAGGCTATAACCATTATTGCACAACTAATAAGCATTAAAACACCACATCAAGCTAAAGAAACTTATATAAAAGAATAAGATTACTCTGAATACATTGCTAAATTCCTTATGGAAGAACTTACCCAACAAAGAATCAGGTCCAATAGTTTAAAATATAAAATGGGAAACTATGGTATTAGCTGGGAGATGTCCTCCACCATATTGAAAAACCTCACCAGTATTTCTTAGGGGTTTGGAGAGAATAGTGAGTGATGTCATCTCACTCAGGGGAAGTAATGTTTCTTTAATTTTTAAACCAAAACAGAGGATTTAAAAAACTTTTTAATCTGAAAATGCCTTTCTATAGCATCTTCTACTTCTCTGTTTCCAAATAAAATCCAAATTTAGTGCCCAATGCCAGAAGATAGTTCTCGTGTTCCTGCTCTAAACATCGTCACAGGTATGAATAACTGAAAAGACTTAACTGGGTCTTGTCATCAGGGCTCAAATATTGCCGAAGGTGTTCTCGTGAGGAGGGGAAGGTGGGAAAGATATTTTGCAATTAGCAAAGTGTGTTCAACCAACTACCCTAAGTGCTATACTTTTAACAATGTTTTCCCAGTGGTTTATCTCCTCAGTAAACAGCCTGTACAGTTCATAAACAATTTTCTTTTCTTAGAGAAGATTGTGGAACTTTTGTCATAGATTTGACCATGCTCCTATCTTTCAATACCTTGGCGAATGCTTACAATTTTTTTGGTTACATTTCCAATATGACAGAAAACATTTCTAGTTAAATCAATTTTAACATAGCCAAGAGAAGGAAAGCAGTTGGTTTCAAATAAAGTCTAGTCCACACTTTTAGAAAGAGAAAGCATAGAACAGTAATATCTAATGGATAAGATCATGTTTACAGTAACGTGTTCCAGATTAAAAAATAAAAGGGGCAGAAAGAATAGAGGCTGTTCTCAACAAGTGGGGCTCTAGTACTCTCTGCCACACTATCTGAGAAAACCATTGCCTCTGCCACAGCCTGGGGTCTTTCCCTTCTTGTCCCTTACCTTCTCCTGAAGCCACTTACACTGAATGATCATCACTGATCCTATGGAACTCTGACATATGATGAAGCAGGGGAGTCTTTTGAAATGAACATCCTCAGAAGAGGCATGTAGCCCTTGTACTGTTACAGGTCACACCGCTGAGCCATCAGGTTATGCAGAGCGCTGAGAACCTGTCTACATGCACAGCTCATTCCTCACCCAGCATCCCTTCCCTGACAGCATGATGAGCAAATCACATTTATGCCTGGAGATAGCACCCCTGTAAAAAAGCCTACTTTTATTAGTCAAACATGGTGCATTTGCTCAAATACCCTTCATTAATCAAGTCACCTTGTGAGGAATAACAATGATGTGTGTGAATTAAATGCTACCCCACTGTCTGAAAGAACAGGATTTTTGGTTGTGTTTTTTAAAAAGGGTTTTTGTTTTCATCCTAGAGGTGATGTTGGAGGAGTAATAAAGGCTGATGTCGTGGAGAATGAATATAGTGCATATTCTGTAGGTCTACAAGAACAGCAGGCTCTGAGGCAGTCCACCCTCACTCTGAAGGGCCCTGGTCCCGGCCACTGACATAAGTGAACCCTGTAGAACATTACCACACCCAAGCTATATTTCCTGAAAGAACACCTGGTGCCTCGCACCCTTTGCCTCCAAATGCCACTCTACTGAAAGAAGAAAAGACAGACAGTAAAGAATAAAGCCCAAATAAACGACAACGACTAGGGGCCAGTGCCCTCTCCTGGCCTGACAGGCTGTTCCAGTTTCACGGTTGTCTTCTGGTCCTCCAGGCACCCTGCCTGCGCCAGCTCCTCTAGCATCTCCAATCAGACCTCTTCGAGAGGCTCGTTTGCATCTCTCTTCTCCCCGCACTGTCTCCTCACTTGAGGCGCTGAGTCACGTTGGCCAGGGCCACTGCAAAGGCCTGCACGGCTGAGAAGGGGTACTGGAAGTCCAGAATGTATGCGTTGCCATCAATTCGTCCAAACTGCATCACCTGGGGGCAGTGTGGGAGGTGGGGAAGCAAAGACATTCAAGAAAAACAAGGTAGGAAGATGGCACCCAGGTTTGTGTGGCTCCTGATGGGAGCAGACAGCATAGCCTATGAGATGTTTTTGCCAACCAAAAGGACTCTGAATCTGATCAAGCTTCTATATCAAACTACAAGTCTGTAGGAAACAAGGAGACAGAGGAACATGTTAAACAACCCAGAGGGGAGACAATGAGCAAAATTCAGAATGTAGGGAACTCTACAGGTCAGATGAAGGGGTTTCTTCATCAGGGGAATAGAAAGGAGAAAAAGAAGAAAGAAGAAACTATAGGCTAAAAGAGACTTACGAGAAGTATCAGTCGTAATTGCCGAATGTCACTGCCTCAGAGAGGAACTCCCTAGCCCCCTTTATAGAATACAACATGCCTCTTTCCCACCACGCTCCGCCTCCTTACCATTTTACTTGTCATGTCACTATTTCCTGTAGCCACATTGCATTAGATAATTATACTACATTCTGTTATATACATTCATTCGTTTATGGTCTTTCTCCCACTTTTGTAAGCTCCACGATGGCTTTCTCACAACTCTAATTTCAGCACGTAGAGCAGGGGTTGGCAAACTTTCTCTAAAGAGCTGATAATAAATGTTTTAGGCTTTGTAGGTCATATGGTCTCTGCCACAACTACTGAACTCTGCTGTTGTCAGGTGAAAGCAGCCACAGGTAGTACTTGAGTGAATGTGGCTGTGTTCCAAAACGGTTCATTTATAAAAAGAGGCAGCAAGACAGAATGGCCTGTGGGCTGCAGTTTGCTGACCCCTGGCTTAGAAGATTGCCAGCCTTACAAATATCTGTCGAGTGAATTACAGATTGAGTATCTCTAATCTGTAAATCCCAAATCCAAACTACTCCAATGAACATTTCTTTTGAGCATTATATCAGTGCTTAAAAAGTTTCAGATTTTGGAGCATTTCAGATTTCTGGACTAGGGATGGTCAACCTGTAACGAAAATGCAAATTTAAATATGAGAGGTGAAAGGACTCCCAGGATGATGAGGAAGGAGTTACGTAGCAGGTCTGGAGCAACCACTCCAGGCTGGAGCAGGAAGCACGGACAAATTACCCAGTGTTTAGCTGCATCAAGAGGAGATTCACATTCTGGCAGAACTGGGGAATGACTTAATAAATACACAGAGAAAAAAGCAAATAAACAAAAACTAGGCAATTGACATGTCAGAGAAGAAAAAAAAAAAAAAAACTTGTACAACAGAGTGATATAATTGAGCCATAACACATGGCTTAGCTGTGAATCATACTTACAGGCTAAACAATCAATGTATTGATTTAGTGGGAAAGGGGGAGAGGGAGAGTTCACATGCATATGTGTGGGGCAGGCAGAAGGGGGTGAGGAAAACTAACCCTCATGTTCCTCGGGAAGAAGTCAACATATGAGGCCCCAAATAAAAAGTCAATACATGGAAGTATAAATGTGTTCTTTAAAATATGATGGCAAATACCAGAAACAACAAGCTGAAGCACCCGCCTCTGGGAGAGCAGGTATCACAAGTAGCGGGGGGGAGGGGGCTGCTAGTTTTCCTTAGAGATCTCGCAGAATCGTTTGACTTTAAATACTCAGTACATGCATCACCTGGATTAAACATAAATAAAAGAAAGCAGTGCACACTGGAAATTGTAACTCCATCTGACTCCTCCTAAGAGATATTAGATATTGTCCACATTTCCCATTTGGCCTTTTGGAAAGTGCTCTAGGATGTCCAAAACACCTCACCCAGCGGCCACAGCACCAGAGCTTTCTTACCTGCCGCCCCTCCAACTCGATCTGGAAGTTCTTGGCCGACTCCTGGGTCACCCGCCCTCCGAAGTCCAGCTGGTACACCTGGGTGGCCTCGTTCCACAAGGGCTGCTTATTGGCCATCACGTACACGAAGCCCTGGCTGCCCAGCCGCCCGTCCTCCTTCTCGCTGGCCTTCCGGCACTTGAACTCCTCCAGCTCGCTGGCCGCGCGCGGGTTCCGCTTGCTCTTCCACCCCTTCTTGCCGCCCTGGCTCTGGTTCATGAGCTCGTCCCCACTGATGAACAGTTCGGGCTCACTGTCCGAGCTGTCCTGGAATTCACTCGTCTTACTCAGCTTCTTTGACTTCAGTTGCTCTTTCTGACTCTTCGCTTTCTTCTTCTCTCTCCCCAGGCGGGGGCTGGAGATGAGGGAATTAAAGTCACTCAGAGTCCTAGCCTCCTTCTTCACTCTGCCCTCGGTGATGGCCTGAACACTTCCTTCCTCTGCTCTGCTGTCCAGGCGCTTCCGGTTCTTCTTTCCAAACTTTTCTGTCCGTTGGGGGACCGGGCTCTCTGTCAAGGAGAGCACTTCTTGGAAGTTGTCTGTGGTTTCTGCCATCACCTCTGTGCCCATGTGGCTTTGGAGGTCAGCAGGTGGTGGGGACACAAGGGGCTTCTCCACCACCAAATGTGGCTTAGGGGGGAGAGTGCCCTGGGGGCTCTGCATGGGTGGGCAGGTGCCATAGGGACTCCATGGGTGCAAGGCGACAGGTGGCAGCTGTAAACTAGAGCATGTGCTGCTTCCTGGGTACATGGGGGGCAGGGTGCAGTAGGAAAGGCTGGGTGGGTAGGTGGGCTGAAGGACCACAGCGGACTCTTGTTGTGCAAACTGCGCTGGGGACAGGACATCTTTGGGGGAACAGGGAGCCTGCACTCCAGGCAAAGGGGGGTTGCTATAGCTTCCTGGATAGGCCACTCCCATCCCATAGCCTGCTTGGAAAGTGGCAGTAGGGCTGGTGGGAGACTTGGGGGAGACGAAGGGCACTCGGGACACGTCCAGGTGCTGGCCCTGACCTAGCATCAGAGGGGACAATTTTAAGGTGTTGGGCACTGCAGTCTGTGCTGTCCTTTCCTGAGGAACCCACACATCCTCACCCAGCACAGGGTCCCATTGGTAAGGGGGTGGCCGTTTCACGGCAACAGCAGCTTCGGGCAGCAGGGGGTGCCTTAGGGGCTTCTCGAGCTGACAGTGCTGGGACAGGGTCTCATCCTCTGTGAAAGCTGAGTTGACGTAGTCGACATGGTCACGGGCACTGTCGGGCGGGCTCAGGAGGCTATAGGAGGACTGGGAGGCTAGCGGGGAGGTGCTGACTGCATGGGCCAGGGCACTGGGCTGCGAGCCAGGCCCCGCGCTGCTGCACTGGCTGCAGGTATACAGAGCAGGCGGTGGCCGCGCAGGGAGCTGCGCTGCAGCCGCCCCCCCAGGCCCGCCCTTGGGCTTGGCCAGTGGCTGCAGGAGGGCTCGTGGGCTGTCGGCAAGCTGGGCCATCTTGAGCACGGCCTCGCGGTTGTTCCTCCGCAGGGTGGCGTGAATGAGGCTGCTATCGGGTCTCTGGGCAGCAACCCGCCCCTGGGCCAGCTGGCTGGCAATTTCGGGATATGGGGGTGGGTCCCCAGTGGGGATGGAGTAGCGAGGGATGGTCAGGCGGTTCAGGGTGGCACTGGTGCAGGGCTGGGGGACCTTCTTCTCGGTGGCTGTAAGCCTCAAGGTGGCAGAGCTGCCTGGGCCGGGAAGGGTGTAGGTGTTCTGGGAACACAGCATCCGAGTCCGGGGCCGGCACACCTCCTCCACATTGCCGCTGCTGTCGAAAGTGGTGATTCTCTCATAGCCCAGGGGTGTCTGGTAATGTGCTGATGTGGAATAGAGGGAGAAGTCACCCTTCTTCAAGCACACATCCACTGGGGGCTGTGGTGGTGGCAGAGGGGGCGGCGGTGCTGCCGTGGTGGGGGCTGCAGGGATGGTTCCTGGGTAAGGGGGTGGAGGGTTCATCTTGGTCACCTGGACCTCCTGGGTGGCGCTAAAGACCACAGCATCCCCCTCAGCTGCCAGCTGTGGCACTGGCCTGAGGGCTTTGGCTGACTTCTGCAGGTGCTCGTGTTCTCGGTCCCCATGGTCCAGCAAGGACAGCTGCATGGGCCCCTGTGGCAGAGGTGGTGGTGGCGGTGGCAGGGACAATGGAGGGGGATTTGGAATGATGCGGCCCATTTCCACGCCTCCGAAAATCACCTGTCCAGGGTTGGAGTAGCGGCTGGAGACAGGGTACTGGGTGGCACTGTCACCTGTATGTTCTGCTGCCCCCATGGCTGTGGTTTGATTGGTCAAGATGTCCAGCTGCACATTTTGATTGGCCAGGAGGGACTGCACCAGCCCTATGCTCTGTGTGGGGGACATTGCTTGAGCCGAGCTGTGGATGGGGGCTATAGGGATGTTCACTGTACAAGGTGGGTTATTCTCAGGGATACCAGATGCTCCCGTCACTGGAAGGAAATTAGAAAAAGGAACTGATTGCAAAACAGTGCCATGAAACTGGGTCAGAATAAACAGTACATCAACCAGTTCTTTTGCATATGAAATGCAATTGCTAGAGGCTGAGATGTGTTTGCTTAGGGAAAACTGGACCATTCTCACAGTTATATAAAGCCTCTCTAATACTTCTGGAAGAACAGACAGGCAATCGGTGAGCTCTGCAGGGCAGCCTGCAAGTTGTCCATTAGCAAAGAGTGTTCTCAGAGCTTCTCAATGGCCACATTTTAAAACCTTCTGAATTTGGTACCATGCGCCTGAATGGCACCATCACAAATAATAAAATGTTTAAAGAAGCTTTTCTTAGGATATTCATAAACTGACCACCCTTTCATGTAAGAAGAGGGCAACAGTACAGTATGAAACTCCACTGAGGACTTGCAATGCCTAGGCTTCTGAACAGGTGTATCCACAATTATGCATTGGTCGGTGTGGGACATGTCATACAACAGATGTGTGTCTGAAATTTGTATGCAAATCAAGTTCTTATAAATAGAACCATGTAAAATGTAGTAGAGAAATCAATGAAAATAATCCTCTAGCAAATCTGCATCAATTCCTAATTTATTACTAGGATCATTTCCTAATTTATCTGCTTTTCAGCATCTCAAACAGTATGTAAGGTAGAGCCACACTGACTAAAACCCTTTAAATATATCCTGTTTGTACTTTTGACCTGCAGGCAGGGACTCAGAGCCGTCCTTTGGTGCTGCCCTATCTCAAGTGCCAGTGAGCACAAGTGCAATGTTGCTCCTCCAGGCCCATCAAGCCACACTCTGTGGACCCTCCCTCAGAGAAAACTGCCGGATCTCTGGAGCATGGTGCTTAGTACTTTTGGCAACTAGTGTATGGTCAGAAAATATGATTTAACAGGGTAAATGTAAAGGCTGGCTGATCTTCCACCAGCAGAACTGCAGAATGAAGCCAACTGCTTTGTTAAAAGCTAAGCCCACCTGTACTGCCTGAAACAGACTCTCCCACCCTTCTCCGGGGTCCTCCAGCGAGACATAACTCCCCTCTGGCTGCATGAATCCAGGTCCTGTCTCAAGTTTCTATTATTCCTGTTCATATCCCTCTTTCAGGTGGTCTGTCATCTTTATGGAATGTTGATGGCAGGCATCTTCCCCTTTAAAGAAGAGTCTCTATTAAGTTACCATCATTAAATGTAAACCCTGAGACTATGTTCCCTCCTCTCGCTGGGAACCACAGAAAGTAACGACAGCAGCAGTAATCACAGATGAACATTAGAGAGGGCTGTATTAGTCACCTTCTGGCTGGGTGTTAAGAGGAAAGTATAAAAGGCGCTCCTAAATCCAAGATTCTGAAATAGCAGGTGACGCGCTATAAAGCTCAAGTATGTGAGGCTTTGCCGAATCGTGGGTACTTATGTGGCTGTACAACCACACCTACTAGGGCTGCATTAGTCTAAAATGCTTGCTGCACCTATGCAGGAGGCGTACACCATCAGAGAACCAAGGATGTGTACTGCCAGAAAGTACAGTAGAGATCATTTTTCAAGTAAATACTCTGGACTGGGAGAAGGTCAACAACCCCCCAACTGAGGTGCCCCAGTGAGGAGCTGAGCCTGGGCTGGAATGTGTGTCCCTACATGTCCCACTGTGAGGACCAGAAACAGTCAGGTCATAACGTACAGGAGAAGTCATGGCCCATGTTGGGGCTCCTCTAGCTCAGAAATAAGGGACTTTCAGAGCCTTGCTTGGCTGGAAGTAGAACAAAATTATAGGTGGACTTTTACTTAGAAAAGCAAATATTTTTCAAGTACCCTAGAGTAACTGAGAATAGTTTCATACAATTAATTGGCAAACTAATCAGAAATCATTCTAATCCATTAATCAAAATAGGATCCTTTAAGGATCCCCCCACTAGAAAACACTTAAATTAAGATGCTATAAATATTTGACAATCTGTACACTGGAATTTTAATATTGTGTACCAGATTGTACTTTTACCCTGGGCCAGGCCTCTGAGCATGGAGACATGCACCTCACGGTGGAAGAGAGATGGTTCAGCGTAAAGGCTTTGCATCCTGGAGATGGGGCAGGTTTGAGAAACTGGGCTCTGAGGGCACCACGGGAACCCTGGAGTGAGGAATGCTCTAAGCAGGGGCTTCAAAGGGTGAAGGCTGCCCCTGATCAATGAGACTAGGTTTTAGTTCTGATTTTATTTAGTCCTGATTAGTTCTAACTTATCTTTATCCAGGCACATGACTAAAAGGGTTACTGTGAGGATGATGTCAAAACAAGATATCAAAAGTGCTCTCTATGAACATGAGGCATCACTGCCATCTTACCTATCCATGCCCTGGTAGCTATTTTCCTTCCAAAACCAGTGCCAATCTGTGACCTTTCTCCTGGGACATGACACTGCATCTACCAACCTTACTGAGGCAGGTATGCCTTTTCCAAACCAAGGCAGAAGGCTATCATCCTCAGTAACTTACCACTCTGACCTCTTTGCATGATCTGCTAAGACAGGGATCATGACAAATACATCAATGTATGTAAACGCACCTGGTAAATCATCTTCATCTTCACTGAAAACATTTGGGTTGAAGACAGGTAAATTAATATAGTCCATGGAAATCTTTCGAACTTCTGGGAGATAAATGGTCATCTGTCGTGGCTGGAGATGCAGGAGGCTGGTTTTATAGATTACTGGTGGGAAGGAAAAAGGGCACAGTGAATAGAAAGACACCAAGGAGAGGCAAAGTGTCAACAGAGTCACAGGAAGAGAAATAGAGGGCTGTGGTTTTCCTGCCATAAGAAGACAGATTTGCTCAGGCAGGGCAAAGCATCCGAGAGGAGCTCTTCATCTCTCCCTGGTACTGAGGCGGCCACACCAGCTGCAGTTTTGAATTCAGTAACGGCAAATTCTTGGTTTAGCTTAGCCACTTTGCCAGCGGTTTGTCTGCAGAACTACAAATTTCTTTTCTTTTTTTTTTTTTTTTTTGTCTTTTTTCATGTCCGGCAACGGATCGCAACCCTCAGTGTCGCGCCCGCACCGGACGAGGACCGGCAACGGGATCGCAACCCTCGGTGCTGTGCCTGCACCTCGCTCAGCCAGCGAGCGGGAACCGGTCTGTATGTGGGATCTGAGCCCTCGGCGGGAGCGCCGCCGTGCTCCCAAGCGGCGCACTGTAGCAGTGCACCACCGGGCCAGCCCAGAACTACAAATTTCAAATGTTAAAAATATATCTTAGACTTAAATCCCTTTTGGAATGAGCTGGGGTATGAAAAATATATTTTTTTAAAATCTCATTTGTAATTCAAAGGATAATTTAGTGAACACAGTTGTGATAACCAGAGTGCCAACCTCATGGGAATCTGGGGAAACCAAGGAGCTGTTTGAAAGCAAGTGCGAAATGAGGGGTGACATGGCAGCAAGCAGGAATAAAATGCTGCCTCTACTCAGGACTGGGCTCTTGTACTGACATTCAATTTCAATCCAATGATCAGGTTAGAGATTTATAGGGAACTTCCATATAGTTTTTTTAAACCCTAAGATTTAATTTGATTAACAGGAACATTTCAGAGAAGGACTAAATTGCAACTAAAATATTCAGAGAAGACAAAATAAACTTAAAAATAATTAATCTGAATTTAAGTTTCCTAGGTAGGTTAAAATCAGGATGAAATTGCCCTATCAACTTTCTTTTATGTTTAATACTCTTTCCTGTGAGATATGCAGATACAGATGCAGGATTTTGATGCATTTTTTGTTAAGATAGGCCACATTCTGCCTCCACAGCTCTAACCTGGGCTCAGCAGCTGCCCTGTGCAGGCATCGGTGAGGCTTGCTCTTGGACTTGTGTGGGTGAAGGCACATTTTCCTACCCAGCGTATGAAAGGCCTTACTCGTATTCATCTCCCTTGCCCGCAAAAGAAAGAGAATATGAATTTTGGTTTAAAACTCCCATTTGGCTTAAGAATTAATGCATTAAAGTGCTATTCTTAGTTGTTCAGACTGACAAAGAGCAATAAAATAAAAAACCTCAGGAGGGATTAGAAAAATAACATCAGTTGTCTCTAAATAAAACTAGGTAGCTGGGAAGGAGGATGAGAGAGATTTTTACTGTGTACTCCTTTGAATCTTCTGAATTTTGAATCTATTACATACATATAAAATTAAAAAACACAACAAATTAAAGATAAAAAAATTCATGGTTCAGATTATTCTAATTGAATGCAACTATCCATTGTGAGAAATAGCACTCACTTTTTAAGTCCACTAGAGTGTCATATAATGTCTTTGAAAAGATTATTTAATGGGGCACCATATGTAACATACCTTCTAGGATCCACAAGTTAATTTCTTTCCTATAGTATAATCAAGTGGAAAATTCTTTTAGATTGACAATAGTAACCATATGTACCAAAATGCTCTTTTTAAAAAGGTCAGTTATTAGGATAATAATTCTATTGCTGTCATACAGGAAAAGCTTTAGTCTTAGGCACCCAACATACTAATGTTGGAATAGCATGTGCCTCAAAGGCACTCACAGGCTCTCTCATTTTGAGATCCTTAGTGGCTTATCTGTGGATCTACACAACATCCAAAAAATAAAGGGCAGAATGAAAAAAATCTATTAAGTAAATTCTCATTTCCATTCCTTGTTTCAGTATTTACTATAGGCAGATGGCTAAACTTTCAGCTTACTGATGTGGGGATAGTCAAGATATTCAAAATATGGTTATTAAAAATTAACCATATCTGTCAACAGGGTACTGATGAATTACTGAACAACAGGCTTCTGTGGTCATCAGAGCATTTCCAAGTTGTTGAAATATTATAAGAGGTTTCTTGGCATTATGTACACGGATGCTCTATTCTTATTTCCTAATTCTTTTTTTTTTTTTTGCATTTTTGTGACCGGTAAGGGGATCGCAACCCTTGGCTTGGTGTCGTACGCACCGGCCATCCCTATATAGGATCCGAACCCGCGGCGGGAGCACTGCTGCGCTCTCAGTGCCGCACTCTCCTGAGTGAGCCATGGGGTCGGCCCCTAATTCATTTTTGTGTTTTATTTTTATTTCCCTTTTTCTTTGAGCTGAGAAACCTCAAAATAAAAAATCCAAACACAGTGCTATTTAATAAATCTCCAAAGATGCATACACAGCTACATGTCTTTTTAACATCTGATTTGAAAAAATAATTTATTTTAAAGGATCTGTATATAAAACAACTCTTACAGGAAGATTCAGAATTTTTCAACAACCATTTTTAGTAGGTTCCACAGAACACATTCAAGATGGCAGGACACAGCCCTGCTGGCAGAGCTGGCCTGCAGAGAGCTGTGCATAGTGTGAAAGGATTCAGCAACTGAGGACGGTGGTGGTTGGGAGGCAACACAGCTCCTCACTCACACAGGCCTACCCAGCAGAAGGAAGTTGCTTTGAAAGGATCTTCTGCCATTTTCATTTTTTCACTGTCTCTGAGATAAGTTTGACAAGAGATTCCTACTCATCTGAGCAGGAGTACAGATGAGAATGCAGATTCTGAGCTCTGGCCCAGCTTTGTACTCCCTTCGTTTAGTTTTCCTTCATGTCTCAAACTTGTCATGGACAGAATACTTATGTGGTACTGAGAAATTAAATCTGTAAATATTTACCCCTAGGAACTGTAGGAACAGTCAGCCAGTTCCTTACAGTCTTCAATGCTTTCTTCTCCACTCTCTTCAGAAGGAGTTTCTTTTGACTCAAGAACCTAGACACTGATACCAAAATCTGCCCACAGTAAAAGGCCTAGAAGTCAAAATAGCCAGAAGTCTGAGAGCTCTGACAGAGATATCAGCTATTTCTTTCATTTTTATATTTCTATTGTGTTTTCAGTCAGGGCTTATATCAAAAAAATCAAAGTGCCACTGACAAAAACCAAACAGAATGGTAAGCATAGTTCCTGCCGAATCACAATGGCTGGAGTCAAGATCTGGAGGTAAGATACAGGCTAATCTTTCGCTGTCTTAAGGGCTCATTTTCTACTTTAGGCCACTGAAAGTTGAAATTGGATTTTTTTCAGTCCGAGTTGCAACTGGGACAGTGAGAGAACAGGACATGGATTTTACCTGCACCGAGGTTGGTTGGCAGGAAAGCAGCCAAGCCCACAATCTTAAATTTGGTTCCCCAGATATTAGACGTGACCTGAGCAAGATAGTTGTGCTGTGGGGGAAAAAAAAGTAAAAGCAAGAATCACAATCTATTTCCATATTTTCTTTTGGTCACTTAGTAAGAATGTTAACATGTATTGCTTAAAAAGCCACAAGTGTGCACTACCAGAAATATTCATTCCCTACACCATTCTATCATTTTTAAGACCAGAAACTAACTAGAGCATGCCAGGCACCCATTTTTTAATGGTGATGCATAGAGCTGGGGGGATGGGGTGGGTGGTTGCTGTGTCCCAGTGTATCTGCATGTGCGTAGCTTAAAAAGCCCACCAAACAGATTTGAACACATTTTTCTTTACCTCTCCTTTTCCCCAACAGCTGGACTAGAGAGGATACCTAACTTTGAATCCATTTTTATCCTTAATATTTCTCCTGGAAACATCAGTTGCACTGGTACCATTATGTCCTGAAACTACTCAATTATCTGTTTTCTCATTGAATTAAATTTTTAAAAATTTAAGAAGTTATCACTATAGGAAAGGCACATGCACATGAGTGCACACGTGTGTGTGTGTGTGTGTGTGTGTGTGTGTGTGTGTGTGTGTGTATGCAAGAGCAAAAATAAAGATGAACAAAGTACAGCTTTTCAAGGAGAAGATAAGGCTTGCAATGATGTAACTAAGAAATACAAAGTCACTGAGAAATGTTACAAGGAGTCATACAGCAGATGTGTTGGCACATCGTGGCTGAACCAGGACAGGAAGACTTTGTGGAGTGGCACTGGAGTTAGGTCTGGAAGCACAGGGTCAGAAACAAGGCCGAAGAGATGGAGAGGTAAGCCCCAAGCAAGACAAGGGTTCAGGGCAGGGGAGAGGCAAGGGTGGCTGTAGCACCTGGAGGGTGAGGCAAGTTGTGGGGCCAGAAGGGAAAAGCAGGCAGGGCCGGGCTGTGGAGTCTGGGACAGGGGTCTCTCTTGCAAACCCTGGGACTCACTGCAGGGTCAGAATCGGCTTGAGGGGCACAGGAGAAGCATGGATGCGTCTCAGCCAGAACGCCACCTGAGCACAATTCCTGTGGCAGCAGGGCAGCTGAGTGGTGTGGGCAGTGGCGGTGAGCAGGGCAGACAGGTGGGGCAGGAAGGAGGCACGTATGGGTCTACTACCTGAGTGATGTCTTCAAAAGGGAACTCTCTCCGTGTTAGGCTGGGCGACCCGATGGAGGGCTTGCGCATGGGCAGCCGAGGAGACCGGGAGATCTCCTGGGCAGCCCGGGGCAGCTTAGGAGACTTCCGGGCCTCGATGCTGATCCTAGGGAGATACCAGGCAGCCATGTGGGAAAGGCGAGCTCTCCCTGCTCCCCACACCCCTTACCCTGTTCCCCCCTTGCCCTGCCCCCACTTCTCCTTCTCAGTCCCTAATCAATGACCAGTGCCTTAATTGAACAAAGTGCTCCCCCAGCTTCTGCTTTATGGACATGAGAAAAGAATGATATACTGTATATTAAATAATGTATATTTAAAGATATATTGAGATGAGATCTAACAATTCATTTGTAAGGAACCTCAAGAATTAACTGTCTTTGTCTTTCACTTTCTAAATGTCTACATGCCTTCTGCTAGGGTTTTGCACAATCAGTCCTGGCAAAAATGGCAGGTGGGAAGAGTCATTTCTCACCCTAAAGCCACAATGATTTTAAAAATTCCTTCTACAACAGTTTGGATTTCAACAAATTTATCCTAGCATTTCACCACCTGCAACATTTAAATCAAATCACTGAGTCTAAAGTTTTTCTGCTGCTTTTCAATCCCATGTTCTATCTGTGTTCCTCAGTTCCATTATTTATAACATGGAGACAAATGTTTAATGCCAGTCTACCCCAGAGAGGGCTATAAAAAATGAATATGGTAAGGTTTATTGCATTCTATGAAAAAAATGCATTAAGCCTCACATATACTGTTTGTGAACTTGATAAGCAACTTTGGGCCCTTGAGGAATGGGGAGATGGGGGACTGAGCTGATTAAAGCCATGAGCTAGGACAATCAGCCTTGCTGCTGTGTGAAGGGGTCCAAGTGGGGAAACACAAGAGGAAAGAGGACCAGCCACAGGGAGGCAGCACTCTTAAAAGGACATTTACAAGTAAAGAGTTTAGTTGCATATGTTTTAAATATCCCCTCTGCTTAAGCAATGGAAAAAGCCTAAATACTGTGGAATTGTAGGAAAGTTCATAATTTTATGTGCAATTTTAACAAGCTTTAAAATAAAGATGAAAAAAATCAATCGGATTGCTGGAGCAGCTGAATATTTGGGAAAAAATGAACACTTACCCCTAATTCACACCATGCACAAAAATTAACCTGGATATAAAGTTAATCTGAAATGTACATGTGAAATCTAAAACTATAAAGTTGCTGGAAGAGAAGAGAAGAATGTTTTCGTGGCCTTAGGGTAGACAAAGATTTCCTAAACAGGACATAAAAAGCACTAACCATAAAAGGATTTCACATATTAAACTACATGGCAATACATATATTGGACAAAGGACTCATATCTAGAACACATAAAGAACTCTTACAACTCAATAAGATTAAAAAATAAAAATAAAAATAAAAAATGGGGAAAAGATGTGAACAGAAAATTCATAAAAGAAAACAGCCAAATGTCCAATAAACATAAAAAGGTGCTCACTATCACCAATCACTGGAAATATAAACTACAATGAGATACCACTACATACCTACCAGAATGGATAAAATTGTTTTTAAAAAAATGACAATACATCTGTTGGTGAGAATGGCAGCACCTGGAACTCTGACACATTGCTGGTGAAATTTAAATTGGTACAGCCACCTTGGAGTACTACATATATCTAACCCATGACGCTGTAACTCTCTTCATAAGTGTACACCCAAGAGAAATGAGTGCATATATCCACCAAAACACTTGTATAAGAATGTTTATAATGAATTTATTCAAAATAGCCTCAAAATGGAAACTAACAAATATCCACTGATTGGAAAATAGAATAAACAAATTCTAGTATATTCAATGTAATGGAATACCATAGAGCAATAAAGAAAAACAAACTACTGATACATACAACGTGGATGAATCTCAAAATCATTATGCTGAGGGCCAGCCCATGGCTCACTTGGGAGAGTGTGGTGCTGGTAACACCAAAGCCACGGGTTCAGATCCCTATATATAGGGATAGCCGGTTAGCTCACTTGGGAGAGCGTGGTGCTGACAACACCAAGTCAAGGATTAAGATCCCCTTACCAGTCATCTTAAAAAAAAAAAAAAAAAAAATTCATTATGCTGAGCAAAAAGAAGCCAGATAAACAGAGTACTTATTGTTTGACTCCATTTACATGAAGTTCAAGAACAAACAAAGAATCTATGGTGACAGAAGTCAAAACAGTGATTACTTCTGGAAAGTGAGTATCAAATGTTAGCAGCACAAGGGACTTTCTGGGATGATGGATGTATTGTTGATCTTGAACCGGGTGGGGAGACAGTGGCATATCAACTGCACAATGAGCTAGGTATTTAAGATTTACACATGTGCACGTGTGCACAATGGGCGGAGAGCACCCCTGAAGACTGAGGTTACCTTGGGAGTTTGGGTGATTTGCTAGCTCTGGAGATTTTGGGAGATTTCTTGGCAGCCCAGTCGTCGCTCAGTTCGATGTCACTGGAGTCTGAACAGTTGCAGCTGTCAATCACAGTAGAAATCAAGCTGTTCCCATAGATTTCATCTGGTAAGGCACCAACCAACAAATTTAAGGGAAGTTATTATCAATTACACCCTAACAACGATCATTACTATAAACTAAAGCACGGACTGACTCACCAACCTGAGGAAATCAAATAAGCCATTGCCCACTCAACTCCTGACTTACTCATTAATGCCAGGATTCTGCAAATGCTATGTCCCAAGCCATTTGTTTTTTTCCCTTTATTTATAACTACTTTTTTGATTGTTTCTACAACTGGTGGGTAAACTCCACAAGGGAAGGAAAGTTGTCTGTCTTGCCCCCTGCTGTAACCCCAGAGACTAGAACAGATCCTGGGACTTGATAAATACTTCCTGAAAGAGTAAATGAGGATTTTAAGGGGTGAATGTTGTTCCTGAGTACATGCTCAGCATCCTGCTTCTTCAGTGTTGTAATTACATATGTGCAGGCACTGCATCTCTGATGTCTGTCATCAACACAACCAGAAATTTGGTGCATTACATTAGATCAATACTCAGGAGGCAGAGGTTTTCATCAGGTGGACGTGTGTGTGTGCGCACGTGTGTGTGTGCACACGCGTGTGTGTATGTATGTGTATTTGTGTATATGTGTATGTATGTATATATAAAGACATTTATTAAAATAAACTGGCTCATGTGACTATGTAGACTGAGAAATCCCAAGTTTAGGGTGCCACCATGGTTGGTTCCTGGTGAGGGCTCTCTTCCTGGCTTGCAAATGGCCACCTTCTTGCTGTGTCCTCACATGGCCTTTCCTTGGCACACAAGCATAGAAAGAAAGAGATCTCTTTTTCTTCCTTTTCTTATTAGGCCAGCCACCAGATTAGGACCATATCCTTATATCCTCATTTTACCATAATTACCTGCTACAAGTCTCCAAATCCAGTCACATTGGGGGTTAGGACTTCAACATATGAATTTGGGGGGACACAAAGCAGTCCACAGCAAGCTCTGACTAAAGATTCCTTTTGAAAATTTGTGGATTTTCACTAAAAACAAAAATTACTGGGACTCATGCTATCTAACAATACACACTGGTAATTTTTTTTTTTGTGTGTGTCTTTTTCGTGACCGGTAAGGGGATCACAACCCTTGGTGCGGTGTCAACCGCACTGCGCTCAGCCAGTGAGCGCACCGGCCATTCCTATATAGGATCTGAACCCACGGCGGGAGCGTTGCTGCGCTCCCAGCACCGTACTCTTCCGAGTGCACCATGGGGCCAGCCCCACACTGGTAATTTTTTGAGGAACATATTTGTCGAGTAACTTGATAAACATTTACAACATGGATCACAAACTTTAGGGCACAAAAATCACCTGGACAACTCATTAAGTCACAGATTTCTAGGCCCCACCTGAGACCTAATAAAACACAACGTAAAGGGTAAGCCTTAGAAACCTGTATTTGAATAAGCACCCCAGGTGCCATCAACCACATTTTGAGAAACAGTGATGTGGAGGCTTGAAAGAGTTAATCAGCTTTTCACGATGAGGAATTCTTGGCTTCCTCAAGTCAGAAATCCTTTCCTCTTCTGAAATTGGTTACATATACCATTCAGTTAGCCATCAGTTACATTGTGCCTTGCGACATATCTTCTATTTTTGTCATGTGGTATTTAAATCTTGACTTTCCTACTGAACTTTTCAAGTGCTGAAGTTGTCTCGTCACCTAAAAGGGTCTGTGAAAGTAGAGAAACCCTGAGATTACTTAATCACAGAAGACCAAAGTACCTCATACGAAATAGGCACTGCCTAAATATTTGTTGATTTGCTTTACTTTACAACTTATAATTTTTAATTATAAAAATAAAATATCTCATTCCCCAAATGACTGTTAGCAATTGAGTCAGTTTGTGTTTGATATGAGCTAATAAATGTGCACATTAAGGAAAAACAGGCACTCAGGTTGTCAGGTCAGGCTTCCAGCAAGTCTGGCCTTTGAAGGACTGCAGCCTCGGGGCCTGACAGCATGCACTCCTGTCCTCTTCTTCAGTGGGAATTTATGCATGCATGCAGAAATACATAAGCTCTTCCTAAGTTATCTTCAACATTTAATCTTAGTTCAGATTTTATAAAATTGTGTCTGGAGGAGGACCCATGCAGGTACTGACATCAGTGAGACGACGTGCTGCTCACCCTGGCTTAGGACTGTCCTGCACACCCCAGCCCCAGTTATCTCTAACTGTCCGTGGCTCTTTTCTTCTCTTTTTTCTCCCTTTCCCTGAAGCCACGTTTCCCCTCTAAGTTAACGTTCACTGCTTTCTCTCCTGTTTTTCTCACTGTGCCTTCCTTCCTTCTGAGTCTATCTGATCCTCTCCCTCCTTTCTATGTGCTTCCCTACCAGCCCCCAGTTCTTCTACTCGCTCTCTCTGCTCTTTTAACCAGTTTGCTGCATGAGTCAAAAGATGGAAAAAACTGACTAATACCCATTTTTTAAAAGTACAGTTTTCCTGCTTTCGCTTTTATACAGTGACATTGGTAGCAATGTTGCTACAGATGATGAGCATTTAAAGAACAGCAGGTGGAGGTGTGGCAATATAAAATACAAAAGGGGCGAGTAAGGCCGAGGCTGAACAAGCCCACTGCACTGTGAACTGGGATGACTGGTTACACCATGTCGGGGCAGCCTCAGGGACATCATGAGGGGCAGAGGTCAATGTAATGGGTAGGGGTGTGAACTGGAGCTAGGAAGTGGAGAGAGCAAGCATGAACTAAGGAAAACAAATCCAACTCAACCAATGTGGTTTCAAGGCCGGATGCCTGCCAGGCCCTTGGGTACAAAGATGACACAGTTCCTTCCCCTCCCTCAGGCCTGCAGGATTCAGCGGGGCAGGCAGACTCTGGAGCACAATGGCTATAGTGTGCTCAGTGGGACAGCAGCAGCCCATTGACAGGCAACAGGCAGAGGACAGTGCTGCTCATTCTGTAGTAGATGACAGGGAAGGTTTACAGGGAGGCGGCAGAATGTCTGAGCTGGCAGGTACTGACAGGTGTATGGTAACTGGGCTAATATGAAGTGGCACAAAAAAAAGACCAAAGTCCCTTTCCTCTGGAGCCTCATGGTACAGGATCCGAGAGAGAGGTATGCAGCAAGCATCCTGAATACATTAACTGAGAAATGTAAATCAGCACAGGAGGGAGATTTCAGAAGGGCAGGTGATTCACTATTTCGAAATCTTTATGGATGAGCAAAACATTTTCACTGTTTATCAGCTAAAAAGCAGTTTAGCAGTGGATTAGTGAGGGGCAGAAGCAGGAGGCTGAGGAGTAGGCTAAAGCTTTGAAAATTTTAATTTTCACATGTACTCTGGGATGGCAGAGACTGTATCGCGTGATTTTCAAATTATCTCAATATTACATTAAGGTACTCAATGAGTACCTGATAAAAAACTGTCAGAGGAATCTCTCATTCCTGGAAGACCTGGGCCAGCCTCCCCTTGCTTGAGAGCCAGTGCTTCCTCTCTCCACAGCCTCAACTACCTGAGGCCTTACAGAAGACTGTTAAAAACCTGTAAGAAAGGGCCGGCCAGGTGGCGCACTGGAGAGTGCGCCGCTTGGGAGCGCGGTGGCGCTCCTGCCGAGGGTTCGGATCCCATGTGGAGACCGGTTCCCGCTCACTGGCTGAGCGCAGTGCGGGTGCAACACCGAGGGTTGCGATCCCGTTGCCGGTCAGTAAAAAAGACAAAAAGGAAAAAAAAAAAAAACCAACCTGTAAGAAAGTACATTTAGAGAATTGTTCACTTAAACAGGATTTTGGAAATGTAGTGGTTTCAAGGTTGTTCTGCGCTAGTCAACACAGGCTCACATTTCATAAACAGGCATTACCTCTGCATGGGTTATAAGAAATAATAACATTCCATGACCACCTGAGGACACAATCTCATACCTCTGGCGAGGGGCCCACCTGATTTGCCATCTGTCCGCGGGTCCATGATAACAAACTCCGGCCGCAGCTTGCTGATGCGCCGTCCCTTGAGGATAGGCACAAGCCCGCCCAGGTACTCCAGGTAGAGCGTGTAGCACGGGCCGCCCACCTCTGGGTCGTCCTCCGTGCGCTTCATGGTGCAGTGCAGCCGTTCATTGCCCGCTGAGGGGTAGCTGACAAAGTCCCGCATGTTGTTGGGGTCTGGAATTGGGGGCTAGAGGTAGGACATGGGAAGAAAAGGAAGAGCTGGGACTCCGAGAGAGAGAGAGAGAGAGAGAGAGAGAAAGAGAAAGTGGGTAGGGGGCAGGTCAGCTAAAAAAGTCAGTGTTACTCTGACAGAGCACAGGATGGTGGCTGAGGGAGGGGTAAACCTCGTGGTGTAGAACAGTGATTCTCAACTGCAGGTGAACATGAGAATCTCCTGAGAACTTTTAAAAAATACCGAAGCCAGGATCCCACCTCAGAGAATTAAATCAGAATCTCCGGGGCAGGTCTGGGCATTTCTTCTTTCTAATACAGTATACCAGAGTTGAGAACAACTGATGCAGGACCAATACTGTAAGACAACTTAAAAAAAAAATCACAACAGATTCTAAAACTCTGATGTTTAGAATAAAAAAAACCCCAACAATCAGACTGATATCTAGAAGCAGAGGCGGAACACAAAAAAGAACCTAAGGGGCAGACGGCCCAAGGTTAATGGGGAAACTCACACTTGAACAGCAACTGGGACGTTTATTCCACATGCTCCATAAAACCAGACTTGTTGCTGGAGTTCCAATCATGTAAAAGGTGGCTGGCAGCCAGCACTGGGTGGGGTGGGCCCTCCGCAGCACAGTAGTGAAGAGAGCAGGCCCTAGAGTTGGACTGGGTCCAGTCCTGATTATTCCCCTAACCAGCTGTGGAGTGAGTTACTGAACTTCTGTGAACTTGTTTCTTGATTTCTCAAGTGGGAATAATGGCAGCATCTGCCAGGGAGTCAGGATTGAATAAGACAGATTTTTATAAAGTACTTGGAGAAATGCCTAATATATAGGAAATGCTAAATAAACGTGCCCTCTTTTGATCATCAGGATGACACAGGACTGAGGGCAGGGATACCAGCCTTGCCATGAGAAAGATAATGTCCGTCACACCAGGCACTTCTTGCACAAATAGTGACAACGATGCTCAAGGCCAACCACAGGCAAGGCAGGACGTGGCAGGGCTCTGCAGGGCCACCCCTCAGGTGCTCTGGTCCAGAAGCAGCTGAGACCCCTGTGTGCTTGCTCTGACACCCTCACCCTGCTTCTCCTGTCTCTGCCCTCCTGGGGAGCAGCGGGAGCCAACATGGAGAGGAAGGAGGAGAAGGGAGGGTGCAGGGCTTTATACCTTGATGGTGGGGATGAAAGCGGTGGAGAGGTAGGAGCAAAGACGGGGGGGCAAGGTCAGCTTGCTGACGTCCTTGTCTTCTCGCAGGGTGCTGGCAATGGCCTGCTGGCACAGCAGCTGCAGGCTGGACACCCGGTGCTCCACACGCACCACATACAGGGCCGGTCCTGATGCCATCAGCAGCCGAGAGTCCCGGTGGCCCCAGCAGATGGAGATGATGGGGCGCTGCCAGAAAGTGAAGGGAAGACAATATCTAAGCTTTTGCTTTTTGGTAAATAAAAAAACCCCACGATGCATACTTGTCTCAAGCAAAATAAAGTGAGCTGATATTTTGAGAATATTGGTATTAAAAGCACAATAGAGAATGTTAAAACTGTATTATGAAATTCAGTACTTTTATTGAAAAGATTCCCAGGTGAGAGCACAAATAAAGCGCTGGAGTAGTTTTATAAAGTTCTTTTACATGTATTACTCATTTAATTTGGTGCCATGAAACCTGACTTAGCTCTGTACAATGGTGTTCCTGCTAGTAGAGGCAATCACCTTGGTGTCCAGTGACCCATAGTCCTTACTGAAGTGCTGGCTATCTGAATCCCCAAATTACCCAGTGGTGGCTCCCATGGCTTGGGAAGGTGATGAGGAGCTAGACCAGATGGCACTTCACTTCTGCCCTGATAGGCAGCATTTCAACAGTAGACTTGGGGTCACCGGCTGTGCAACCCGGGAATGATTACATAACTCCTGGAGGCCTCCCACTTTTCTCATGAGTCAAATGGAAGCACAGTGAGGATTGAAGGAGAAGACGGTGTCACAGTGCCTCCAGGACCCACCACAGGTTATAACCCACAGGTGTTAAGCACTTCGTTCTCAGCCTTCCTCAATGCTGATGGGATGGGGAAGGAAGAGAGAAGGCTCTCTGCATGAGGAGAGACAGAACATAGTTCCTATGGTGGCCTCACTAGGGGTTGTGGCCATCATTTTCTTTGAAAGGCAGGCTGAATGCAAATATGCAAGTTAGAAACATCTTGTACTGAAAAAAACCCTAAGCTCAGGGGTACCAACTGAGTAAGATTGGCCAAGGAAGAAAGAAAGTGGTGGAGAGCTGTGATGGAGAGCAGCGAAAGATTCTTTCATTCTGATGCAGACAGATGGAGAGCTAACGTAATGAGGTCTCAACAGGTTTCAAACATCAGAAGTGGGAACACCACATCTTTTATATGAATGACAGATAGGGACAGAATTTTCAAAACACTTCAGTGACAAAAATCAGGATAAAATGAACACCTGAAGACACTCCTTAAAACAGCCTCCAGAGTCAGCTAATCCTGGTTTCAACTTCAAAGCAAAATGCAAGGCTGAAGATGAGTTATCTCCCATCTCCATTGTGACAAGCTGCAGAATGGGATAGTGGTCACAGCACTTGGAGGAGGACTGTGTCTTTGTTGGCTGCAGTGTCTGGAATTCAAAATTGGGAACTTCTGGAGCACTTTCAAGATAGGCCTTCTTATAAGATGATCCCACACAGAGGGCAGACCCCATAAAAGGGGCCTAATTTAGAGCAAAGCATAATGACTGAAGACAGGGTGGACCAACACATAAAAAAATACACACAAAAATTTCTCTGCTGTCATCAACCCCGTCACTTCAGATTAGTACAGAAACTCTATTAGTACCCAAATCATGTTTAATCTTAAAGATATACTGCTGCTCCTTTATCCCTGAGACCCTAAGATAATATTCATAATTGACTGGTTGGAGCTGGCTGCAGAAATACCAGACACTTCTTTCCTCCAACTTTCTTTTTTTTTTTTTGTCCTTTTTGAGACCAGACGCACTGCGCTCAGCCAGTGAGCGCACCGGCCATCCCTATATAGGATCCGAACCCGTGGCGGGAGCGCTGCTGCGCTCCCAGTGCCACACTCTCCCGAGTGCGCCACAGGATCAGCCCTTTCCTCCAACTTTCTTTTTTTTTTTTTTGTCCTTTTTGAGCCCAGACGCACTGCGCTCAGGCAGTGAGCGCACCGGCCATCCCTATATAGGATCCGAACCCGTGGCGGGAGCGCTGCTGCGCTCCCAGTGCCACACTCTCCCGAGTGCGCCACAGGATCAGCCCTTTCCTCCAACTTTCTATTCCTCCTTAGCCAATCTATTTGACATGCCAGGGGTTACAATGCAAGAACCATATATTTGTCCTCCTGTCCTCTTCCTCCTAGTTCTGCTTTTCATAGCAACTATCTCTGTATAATTCTTGATATAAATACTTGATTATCATAATAAGTATATATCTCTTATATCTTTGTACCCAGAACTCAAACCACTTATACAGACTTTTAAACTGGATGAAAATCCTCCCTGTTACATTTAAATGAATAATCACCACCCAATCATAACAAAAATAACCATATCTTAAACAAATCACTATATTCCAATAGCACCTTAAGGGCTCACATACATTATCTCGCTCAATCCCTTCAACTCTACCACATAGGTATTATTATTCCCATTTAAAGTGTGAGGACACTGAGGCTAAGAGACGCTGAGTAACTTAGTTACAGTTAGTAAATGGGAGAGCTACAATACTCACCCCTCCCCAACTCCACAGTTGGTACAATCTTGCTACAAAGTGCTGCCTCTCTTAAGTGTCAGTATGTTGATACAACAGCCTAAAGAATGTATAATGTCTCACTTAAAAATGTAACTATTTGTCGATCATAAATAAAGCAATGAACCCAAATTCCCCCTTTAATCTATTTGGTCAAGGCTATTTTACTCAGAAACAAACCAAATAATAACATGACTATAGAAAAGACAAATAAACAACAGGAGAAACAGGCTGCATCAACAGCAAACGGATAAGGACCTGAACGACTCATTATGGCAGAAGAGAATGCACCGGTCACATGGGCACACAAGTGAAGGTAAATTAGCCAGCTGTATCATTAGATGAACACGAAATAGCATATCTAGGATGGCATGTCTGGAAGGGGAGGGAGGACTGTGCTACTCTAAGCTGGGCATCGCATTAATGCAGAAAACTTAACAATTCTCAGCCAAGTGGGTGTGAGAGGACTTCAGAGATGAAAGGAAAACTAAAACCTGTGAGGGCCGGCCCGGTGGCGCACTGCTACAGTGCGCCGCTTGGGAGTGCGGCGGCGCTCCGGCCGAGGGTTCGGATCCCACATGCAGACCGGTTCCCGCTCACTGGCTGAGTGAGGTGCGGACGCAACACCGAGGGTTGCGATCCTGTTGCCAGTCCTGGTCCGGTACAGGGGCGACACTGAGGGTTGCGATCCGTTGCCGGACACGAAAAAAGACAAAAAGGAAAAAAAAAAAACTAAAACCTGTGAGAAAAGAGCTGAAATTATTTAGCCTGCAGAAGTGATGCCTGTAGTGTATCAAAGGAATAACTATTATGTGGAGCAAGGTTACCAGGAAATCCCCTCTCTCCTTAGGACAGGACAAGAATACCAACAGGACGTCATATCCGTCTAATCTGGAGCACAGCATTCACTCACCTGTCTAAGTCAGCAGAAGTTCACTGCAGTGGGGGGTGTGGGGGCGGGCACGTGGGGCATTACATTCATCTAAGTATTTATAGCACATATTCTATGTAAGATGATAAAGTAGCATCTATCTGGTAACTTTGCCACAATAATCTTTAAGGCTGTATAAGGAAAATATGGAAGAATTTATAGGTAATGAAAGATGCCTTCTTGTGTGAAGATTCTGAGGTCTGATTGATGTGGGGAAATTAATTATAGTTGAACTTGAACAACTTGGGGGGTTAGGAGTGCCAACCGCCTTTGCCTGCACAGTAAAAAAAAAAATCCATGCATAGCTTTTAAGTCCCCCCAAATTTAACTACTAATGGCCTACTGTTGACCAAAAGCCTTACCAATAACATAAACAGTTGATTAATACATATTTTGTATGTTATGTTTATTATATATTGTATTCTTACAAGAAAGTAAGCTAGAGAAAAGAAAATGTTATTAAGAAAATCATAAAAGGAAATACAATTACAGCACCGTACTGTATTTGTCAATACTAGAAGTTTGTATCACCTGCTTACAAGATGAATCACCTGTCGGTACCTGCATCAAGATTTCAGCATCCCTTCAAGACCTGTAAGTCTGTAGCAAGTCACTTTATAACAGGTCATCATACTTTTTTAAGGTTACATTTCCTGTTGGCGCTAATTTTTCCTGTGCTGTTTACTGGAACTCCAGCCTGTAAGGACCTCGCTACAAATGTTCTGTAGTTTTGGGAAGAACGAGAGTCAAGATGAAGGTAGCTGCAGCAGCTCACAGACACGGCTTTGGCCACTCTGCCCTCTAGGTGGCACTGGGCCAAAGAGTGCCAGTCCACTGCCTGCCTGCCCACAGACGTCCCCACACAGGGGATCCTTCCTCCCTAGGAACCCACCTGCTGGGAGAGCTGCTGCAGGAGAGAAACAAACCAAATGTTCAACTCTAGTAAACCTTGGGACACACAGGGTCCACACAAACGCAGCTCTCACAGATTAATGTTTGTGTCTGAGCAGGTGCTGTCTGCTAGGGAAACATTTGCTGTAAGTTTGTGGATGTAATCTCTTTCTCAAATCACACAAGATACTACTTTTAGACCCGAAGGCTAGAACTGTGGAGCTGGTGACATTCAAATCTTAACTCGTGCGGGGGTTCACATATTTCACACATCTACATTCCCAGGCAGAAGGGTGGGCAAATGAGCTGCGTTCCAGCCAGTGGTGGTGGCAGTCAGACAGCGCGATGAGAACTGGCACGCACAGAGGTGCTGCAGTGGTCACCACGGCAGGGTGCAGGTGAGTGGTTATGGAGGGTCATGTTAGTCATCTCAACTGCCTCCCTCTCCAGACGCGTGGCCTCCCCAGGGTCACATACAAGAAGCGGAGAGTTAGTTTGTTCTACTTACTCCCCTGCTCCGGCGATATTGAACCTGTTAGTCAATGACCAGTTTCAACTCCTCACTGTGGCATCTCATCTCCTGCCTCTACACAACACGCACCATGCATCATCCAATCATTTATGCATCTATTAAGCTGTTAATCAGTGACTTAATAAATATTTGTTAAATGTAGACAATGGGCCAGATACACTCGAGGTACATGTATTGCTTAACAACAGGGATGTTTTCTGAGAAGTGCATCAATAGGTGATATCACTGTTGTGCAAACATTGTACAGCACACTTACACAGACCTAGATG